CTTGACCCCGTTGCCTGTCCGTTCACCGGCCTCACCTGTAGAAAGCCGTATTACCACCGGTCCCGTATTGTAGGTCGTTGGAGTTCGTTAACTCACGTGCGGCTACATAACCATATCTGACCGAAACGCGAATTTGTTCTACGGAGTTTGGTAACAGCAAACCATACTAACCTGTACGACCTGTTACTGAAATGGGCGCATTTTCAGAGCCTTGAGAATAATAGTCCCATGTCAAAGATAATTTATACGAAAATTTTACTCGACCAAGTACTGTGAATACACATTCAGGAAAATGTATCCCTCAGGGATTTTCATGGACACGCTTTAGGAACGTAAATTTTAGCCCCACACACTGATTCCGCATAGACACTGTACCCGTCGAAAATAATGAATCAAATGCAAGCTTCGGATGTGTGCCTTAAGCAGGAGGTGGTCTTATTTGCGGAGTGAAAACAAGAGTAAGAAAAAAGGTGTAAATTTTAGTCGTTTAACACAACTTGACCGTATTATTAGCACACATGCAGTCAACAGAGGTTGCCGGCACGATTGACGGTCGTAAGTCATGACTTACCTGAGAAACGAACTTACACAGAAATCTGTGTTATGACCCCGTTCGCGCAGTCTGAAGAATGCTTCAAGTTAGCTTCTTCCTCGAATCACAATTTGTAATGTAGCTTGTGAGAATGTGGGTCGCGAGAATGACCACCTACATTAAGGGTGTTTTGAAGTTTATTTTGACGCCACATTACTCATGAAGGCGTTTTTTATTCCCAGAGGGAAAATAAACAGTAATCTTGAACAGCCAGAGAAATCTCTCATAGCGTTGATCTAATTGTGTGAATCGGTACTGCACAAAACCACCCGATGTCGTAAAAGAGCGGAACGGGGGAATAGGCGCCCCCTACTGACGTAAATGGTCTTGCAACAAGTTGGAGGAGTGGTGCCAATTACCGTGTCATAACTTTATTCCTCGCACCAACCCCGACCTTGACCCTAACTCAAACTCCCTGAAATTAGGCTCAAGGCCACCTGTGATATGGGGTGGGGGAGTACGCATTCCCCTGTTCCATCCGCAAAGGTACCCAGAAAAGGAGTTATAAATCGACATTCCTCCGGGTTTTAAAACTTGGCTTGGCCGACTTCGGCATGCTAATTGGTTGCCTGTTCGTGACCTTTGCCACCCATACGGAGCTTGTTTGTTTCGTGAAGCCAATAGATCGGTGTGCGCCCATTCCTGGTTGATCTAATTGTATGAATCGGGACTGCATGCAACCACCCGATGTCGTAAAAGCTTGGAACGGAGGAACAGGCATCCCCTACTGACGCAAATGGCCTTGCAACAAGTTGGAGGAGTGGTGCCAATTACCGTGTCTTAATTTTAATCTTGCCACCAGTCCCAGCCTTGACCCTAACTCAAACTCCCTGGAATTCAAGGGAGATACGCCACCCCCTCTTCTGTCCGTAAAGGTACCCAGAATAGGAGTTATAACTCGAAATTCCTCCGGGTTCTAAAGTGATTACACTTGCATTATTACTTGCGCTGCAGAGCATCGCGGTGCAGAACGAGACGGCGCGCAATTCAAGCACGCGACATCCCAGTCTCACCGGCAGGTGGCCGAGCGCTCCCCCAAAACCCCCTCCGCCTGACAGTCAACAGTTCAGCGATGCAGACTTCGAGGAGCACGAAAGCCGTCTCACTCCCCTAATCACTGCTTACATCTTCAGCGGCGCCCTGTGCGGCCGTGAACTGCCGCAGTCTGGGGGCCATCATCGCGAGGCTCGGCCATCGGGACTGTCGGGGGACAAGGACTTGAAGGACATTGTCCACGAGGTGAACAACAACGTGCCCGGCCAGATTACGGCAACTTACAATCTGCTAAAACAAAAGGTTACCACAGTTCCTCCATGATAACGTTCTATGATGTATGATGACCAACGCAGATACAGTGGGCGGGCTAACCCATGAAATGTCAACCGAAATTCCGAAATGCGTTTTGGTTTCGAACAAATTGAGTAGGTAGGGTTGTAAAGTTGGTCATAATGCAGCACAGTTTTATAATAATTCAGTTACTCCACGATGCCGGCTTTCAACCGAACTTCTTCCCTGCAGCATGCACAAACCATCCTCTGTAAAAGATGATTACTTCAGTAGCATGCACTTTTCTTATTGACGTTCGATGTCCTCAAAATTTATATTATATTTTATGTAAAATATGCATAAAATATTCATTCGTTTGTACTTTCGGTAGAAAATTACGTCTTCTAATTTTATACTCAAAGGAAGTTTATAATTCGGCTTTGGAAAAGCTTTTCCAATTCCCGAATTATTTGAACCCGATCTGCCGTTACACCTGCATTCGGGATTTCCAAATCACAAGTCGTCTATTTTCCGCGTACGGAAAACCATAATTTTTCTACGGTATTAAGAGGAGGCAATATGAGGTTCATAAAATTTGCAGTGGATTAGAGCCATATTGTTAACTCAACAAGCCACATTGGTAAATGCAGAGGCATGACGTTTTATGAAGGGCCATTTCACGGTCTTAAAAAATGTGACAATCAGGAACTTTCTGAAAACCGAATCATATCATTTCTTCAAGTATAAAATCGGAAGAAGACGTAATTCTCTACCGAATAAATGAAAGATGGACAGTTTTATGCATGTTATCCATGAAATGTAATTGAACCTTTAAGGGCATCTTAAATCAAGGACAAAGATGCATGCTACTTATGTAGTCATTTTTTATAAAGTATGGTTTTTGCATGCAGCTGGAAAGAAGTTTGTTTGAAAGCCGTTGTATTTAGGTAACTGAATTGTAATAAGATTACGCTGCATGATGCTTAGTTTTACAACCCTACTTAATTAATCTTTTCGAAACCAAAATGTATTTTGGAATTTCGGTTGACATTTCATGACTTAGACCACCTACTGTAAATTTTGTCAAAAAAGTTCGAGTATAAACCTATAAAGCACGAATATATGCTATGGAGCGCACTAATCTATGTCGGGTTATTTCATTACAGTGTGAAAATAAAGCCTTCCTATAAAGGGAAATATTCACTGGGATCGTTACTTTTTTCCAGCTTCAGTCTTAGTATGCAGAGACCACACGAAAAAGAAAACCACCGAAACTCGGAGTTTTGGACTGTGTGAATTAGGCTCGAGTCTTTCCAAAACCTAAATGTAGTCCCCCTTTCCAGTGGTGGTGGGAAGTAAATTGGTCTGAAGAGGGCTCTGAAACGCGCTCCTGCTGTGAAATTGAGAAGCGCAGGAGCGTGTACTAGGGAACCGTGATAACAGGGATTTTGTGGGTTGGGCTAAGGGGAGACGCAGAAGGATGAGAGAGAACTAAGGGGAAAACGGATGCATCAAAGGTAAATATGCTGGTTTGGTTTAATGGGTGCAAAATTCTCGGAGTTAGTTGCGAGAAATAAGAACATCCGCTGCAAGTAGCCAGCAAAATCCAACTCTACTATGACATAAAAGCTAACAGTTAAGCTAACCGTGAAACTAAATCCTAACTCTAAACTCCAACCCCAGCTTTCCCTCTAATTTTAAGCCCTAAATCTAGACCGCAAATCAAAATCCTAATCATAACTTTAACTTTTAGTGCAAAGCCTAAATCTAAATCTCAACATTAACCTTGGGTCCTAACCTCAAACACTTACCCTAAAATCCAAACCTGTCTCTAGCCCAAGGGCATAAAGCTAAACCATAAATCCTAGTCCTAACCGTAAACCCTAAACCTAAATCCTAACCTTAACCCTAAAATCTGTTACTACCCCGAATCATAACCATAATTTAATGCGAAACCGCAAATGTAATCGTGAATCACAACCGCGGCAGTCCGCGAGCGCCTCAAACTAAAAATACCTCCCCAGCATTACCAAACCTGCTGGAATCAATAAGAGTACGAAAGTGATAAATTGTTTACTGAGCAGGAGCGCGTTTCTGAGTCCCACCCAACTAGCCTGCAAAAATTGAATGAAAGAAACTCTCAGGAGAAGCACGGACGCATCACGAAAGTAAGACCTGTTCTTGGTGATTTTCACAGACTAAAATACCCTGTTTCAACGCCGAAGAATGCTGGTAAGCTTTAGGGTCTGAACGGGCAGATGTCTCGCTCTAAATCATACGCGGTACTGCTTCTCAGCTGGGACCTAAAATGAACAGCAACGTTGTTAGAATAGGTCGATACGGGCGTCACTTCGGCTCAAGGCATGCGCTGGTGGGGTTGGGCTGAGTGTGCGAGAGTTGATAGGAAGAAGAAGCGACAGCTATGGAGGACAAGAGGTGAACGCGAAGGTAACCATGTAGTTGACCGAACTTTGGTCACAGTAGGTGCGCAAAAGACTGGTTTTCGCAACCTGACGGCAGTCGCCTCTGCTACTGCTGGCAGAAACTGACCAGTGCCTCTTCTCAACCGTACCGAGAGGTATTCTCGTAATCTTTTGGATGGGCACCAATATAACCTGCTGCACAGCAGCAAGTAAGGGAGTAAATGAACTTGAAGGTGGACTGAGAAGCAACCTACCGTTAACCCCTCCGTGAAAAACAGGGACGGTTGGAATTTACGCCATCACCACCACCACCACCACCACCACCACCAACACATACACCAAGAACATTCTTGATGCAGTCAGTATCTGAAACTACTCTGTTCCCAAAAGAGAAAAATGTAGAAAAAAGGAGGGCCATTTTTACGGGCATTAATTTCGCTCCTGCATTTCATAATCGGCTAGTGTGTGCTCCACGCGCGTCATTCAATGATTTTAACATGACCATTTTAAACGGGTCGACGTTTTTTATGCTGTTTTAGGGATTTTACATCCCTTCCTCCAAGTGAAGTGCATCCTTACAAATCTGGTTCGCTCATCAGACATAAAAGTAGTCCTCTTTGCTAGGCACTCATATATTCCTCTTATGCATGTTGTTATAGGTACGTCGATACTGCCGGGAAAATAATATAAGGTTCAGCCAGTGGTTGACCGCCAATCAGATGACAGACACTCTTCCTAAAGCCCATACAGCGTGCCCCAAAGAGCTGTTTGCGCACTATGTTCCACAGGAGGGGCTCCGGAGTCAGCCTAAGACGTTCGCTTCCTCGACAGAAGACTACCCCAATGAACACTGGACCTCTGAAATATATCCTGTCTTCACTATACCGCAGTGTCTCTCCGTGATAGATCAGCGAAAACGAATGCACATCAACGAAGTGGAGCGGGACGCTGGCGAATTGATGTCTGAGGTGGGAGTACCACTCCGACCGGTGCCTCCATTAAAAGAAAACCGGGCACTTGATTCAAAAGGAGTCCAGGCCACGACTGATGAGTCGGTGAACACCACCTCGAATTTGACGTCCAAACAGCGCCTTCTGCGTGAACAGGTAAGCCAGTATTTTTGAAAAATTTTCCAACCAAATAGACTGGGTAGAAAAAAGGTTGGGTTACAGTTAAGAGAGAGAGAGGAAGAATTCGCTTTATTTTGAAATCGTAAATTCATAACTTTCAGCAAAAATTGGCCCCATTCACTATAGGCAGTAAATAAGTTAATAAATTATTATTGTGTGAAGAAGTTAACACAAAAGGAACAATTGTTATGAGGACAGTTCCATTCTTGGCTTCTGTATTTCTATCTGTTCACACGCAAGATAGCGCGCCAGGAATGGTAATACAGAAGCTCGAAAAGCCGATGTGCGACAAGACATAAGTCGGAAGCTGCGGCGCATCGGGCGGGAAGACTTCGCATAAATAAGATCCGAATGCGAGGGATGGGCAACGTCATCTATAATCCGACCAGGAGATTACTTGATTATATTGAAATGTCGTTGTATGATAGTGTCGAGTAAAGATATGAAACACCAGCAGCAGAAGAGAGCATGCAGAGGACTCGTTTTAAAATTAAAAGATCCTTTTTGAGCAAAGCAGGAAAAGTGACAGGAGAGCAGTATAGAATAAGAGGAAGAATGCAGGCCTCGATTAATCGCCAGACTAAGAGTTGAGATGCGTTGTAGGAACGTAAACGATGAATTTAATAAAGAGGTTTACGAAATTTATTAAAAATGGACTTAATATAAGGGAAAATGAAAGATTTGATGACAGAGTAACGCCAAGTTACCCGAAAAAGGATACCTCGTTAGGCAGTATGCCAGAGGATTCTGAAATAGGAAAGTGTCGCAGTCGGAACATACACTGAACTTGTTTTTGGTTGTTCATTAGCAGACCATTTTCCTCCGACCATACTAGCACATGGTTAAGGCCATCCTTTAGAGACTGGAGGCGTGTCTGATTTTTAAGAAGGTGTCCAACAACCACATCATCAGCATACTTAACTAAAAGACAGTCGCTAGGGCATCTTATATCGTCGGTGTGGAGGGAGGAAAGGTGAGGGGATAGAATGGAACCTTTAAGAATTTCGTAGTCATTGAGAAGGACCATAGACTTCCGTTTGCCAAACTGGACAAAGTAAGTGCGGAAAGTAAAATAACCACTAAGCCAAGAGACGACCCAGCCTGGAGAGCCGCACGCGGATGTTTTGGTAAGTAGAAGAGGGCGCGGGACGATATTGAAAGCGGAGGAGTAGTCAAGAAAAGCGCATGAGTAGTCACCGCCGTCCTTGTCTAATTCCTTTAGAGCAGAATGCACCACAAGAGCAACGACATCTAAAGTACTGAATTTGGCTTTGTATGCAACTCTTTTAGAAAGCTTTAGTAGTGCGGAGGAACAGGCAATTGGACGAAAAAATTTAGGATCAAAATTGGCGGGTTTATTTGGGATGGGTGTGATTCTCACTGTACGCCAGGCGTTGGGAATATTGGACTCCATGAAAGCTATATTAATAAGGGCTATATGAGAACAACAAGATTTAAGAATAAAAAACGAGACACCATCTGGTCCGGCGGCTATTGATCCAAGGACCTTTTTAAGGCGTTTCACTACTGCTGCCACAGACACGGGTTGGAAAGCACACGGTGATAGGGGAATGTCATCTGAGGGAAGATGGGAGTCATTGTGACTAGATATAAAATTTTTATTTAAGGAGTCTAAATCAGCATCCACATGTACCAGTGTGTTGAGATGGCCAGTGAGACGCTAAAGATTCTTCCAAATCTCAGCTGAGGAAGGGGGAAACGGGGGGAGAAATAAGAGGTAAAAAGTTGACTAACAAACAGGCTATTTAGCCTGTCAATCTCTGTTATTATTAAGACGATAATATCCTTAAGGCTGTCGCGTAAGCCTAGCTTGTAAAGGAGTTTTTTTACATCCTAACGATTTCAGATACGGGGAAGAAATTCTATCCGAGCGTACCCTTACAGTATCGAGACGACAACGAATATCAACAATTTCATTTAAAAACTCTGTTAGGTTGGAAGAACAGGATTCAACATACGATTGTTCAAGGAAAGCGGGGATAGTACAAGAAATGCAAGTCAGAGGCAGGAGAATTTTTTGTGCGGACGTGTTGTGAACCTTAAGCTTTCGCTCAGGCTTGGCTAGCAGTGTACGTTTAGAAGAGGAATCGATTTTTGTCATCTGAGGGAAGATGGGAGTCATTGTGGCTAAATGTAAACTTTTTATTTAAGGAGTCTAAATTAGCATCCACATTTGAGTACTCATCAGAAAAGTACATTTACGGCTCAAGATTTGATTAGTAGCATATCAACGTCTTCTTCTTCTATGACTACTGTGTCGTGCTGTGAACAAAAAGACCGGACGCAATCTGGCAACACAACATGCGCCCTCATGAATTGAAGAATCTGACTATTGGTTGTTTGTCGTTATTAAAAAAGACAAGGGAGACTGAAGTGGTCATAAGATGAAGATGCCATCGCTGGAACAAGAAATGATTGGCCTAACGTTTCGGATTCTCACTCGAATCCATCCTCAGAGACATTCACAGATAAAGGTAACGGTGGCACCAGGAGTGCAGTATGTATAGAACCTGGCTGCCGTTGACCGTATGCGCACTGCAATTAACAGTTCTAGAAATCACCGCTGGGGTCGTAATCGATGTGGTGGTGGCTTGTCGGTCCGAGCCCGAGTCGTTAATAGCCGCGATCTCGTCGTCCGCGGTGGATGCTGGCGTGACGATCGCTCGGCAAATTGGCTCACTGTCACTGGGATAATTGCTCGCCCGCGCCCTCCTCACGTGACTGATTCTCCTGCCCAGGGAAAATCTCAGCACGTAATATGGTAACGGGAGGTCAGTGTGCTTGGTGATGGATTGCGGGCCTGAGAACCATGACTCGAGCAGCTCTCGGCTCACGCAGTTGTCAACCTTTGCGAGGATTTCGGCCTCTTGATATTTGAAAATATGGCCGGGTCCCGACGAGTGTGCCGCCACCTGAGAGCTAGCGTCTCCGCGCCTCACTGCTGCTGCGTGCTCGGCAATTCGCGTACGGAGTAATCTCCCAGTTTCTCTAACATAGTTGCTTTGTCCGCAGCTACACCAGATCCGATAAACGACTCCAGGCGTTTCCTGCCGTGGCAGCGGGTCTTTTGGCCTCATGACTTGGCGCCTAATGGTTGCTTCCGGCCTGTGCACAACCCCAAATCCAAGTGGAGTGAGAAGACGACTGACGGCTTCCGAGACGTTCTTCACGTACGGAAGAGCCCGCCAAAATTTGGGGCCGGTTGGATTTGGTCTCTGGTGTCCTTTTCGTATACACTGGTTGACAAAGTTGCGCGGGTAACCATTAGCTCTCATTACCCGTCGAAGATATTGTAATTCAGCAACCTTGTCTTCCATTTCACTGTAGTGCGTCTCAACGCGTCGGTATAGCGCCCTTACGCAACTGCGTTTGTGACTGATCGGGTGGTTGCCATTCAAGTTCGGTATTTGCGTCGTATTTGTCGCTTTCCTGAACACTTTGGTCAGGAAGTGGTCATTTCTGGCTTATTAGTCGTCACCAGCCAGTCATACCCAATCCCTAAATGTGGCACACCCGAGGCTCGAACTCGCGACCTGTTAGTTAGAAGCCCACTCCTCTAACCACTGGGCCACGAGGCCGTTGTCCTGTCGGTTTCGATAGGGAATATACGATGGTAGGGGGCGCTCACCGATCGTTCTTACGGAAGTCACTCGTTCCGTTGTGCCCTACAGGCTCTCTCTCGAGCCCAACCAGCAGCCGCACAGCGACGCATGATATACACAGTCGAGAGAGAGGAAGAGCCCGTAGGGCACCACGGAACGAGTGAGTGCCGTAAGAACGATCGGTGAGCGCCCCCCTACCATTATTGGTTGTTTGTTTATACAAGACAAATGCAGCCTGGACTAGAGAAGAGATAATACCCAGTGAGTAATGTCGCATTAATTTTTGCATAAACCCCCTTTGTATCATCGTGTTTCGTCGAACGGATGCACGTATGAGCATAATTACAGTGCCGTAAAAGAGAAACTGACTGCGAACACTTGAAATATAGATACGCAAGAAAGTGGGCAACGTTATATACAGACATTGGCAGTCGTTTGTGTAAAATGTAGGGCAGCGTCTTCAAAGTCTTCCTCCCCCAAAACCGAAGGTACTGCGAGTATTGTTTACTGACTGTGAGCATCGTTATACGTGGGTTTTTGTATGCATACGGGCATAGGTAAAGATGTCAATCACAAGTGTTGTGATGGAGGGCCGAGAGTCAACGCTCGGGGAAAAGAGCGGAATTGGGGGCCAGAGGTCATGTGACCAAAGCCGAACACTGTCTCACCGATGCGCCCGCGAAGCTGAATGCTGCTCACCTGAACATCAACGACCGATCAGTCCACCGGCTGACGTGGGAGGGGCCAAGCGGCACGTTGATTTGACCACAATTACGCCGACCCCAAAGGGAACAAAGGTCACGCAGGTCTGTCAGCGGTCAGCCCCGGGGGAGGTCTAAACCAGTCAGCGGCAAACAGGCAGGTCAAAGTTCGTGCGCCCAGCACGACTATAATACGAGGCAAGCGGCAAGACTGAACAACTCAAGACCGGAAAGTGCAACAATTACGCTACTCTGATGATGGAAACGAGGAAGTTTCCGAGACGTCAGTTCGAATACAATATGGTCCATGAATTCGCCCTCTCTTCTTCTTCTTCGTCTTCTTCGGGAGATAATGAACGCGATATATATATATATATATGTGTGTGTATGTACGAGGTACGCGATGATTTACATAAAAAAGAGTTAACTTACTTATGCCGGTTTTTCCCACTCAACCGATACCCAGTCAGTTTTGTGGTAAACTTTGTCAGACACCAGAGACGACCACAAAGTCTCGACTTTGCGTCACGGAAATTCTACTCCCTGCCCTACATGCCAAGAATTTCCATAGCGACGGCCCGAAAGTTAAGTCAGTTTGGAATTTCCATCGTCCAGACAGCACAGCATTATCCCAAGTAGACAAACCCGTACCCAAGGAACAACAAACATATGCCATATACGACATTCTATGTCCTAACTGCCCTTGAGTTTATGTCGGCCATAGCGGCCGACGGGTTGAGACCCTCATTAATGAACATATACTAGCCATCGGCCGACAGGACCCCTTGTCTCTCGTGTTTGAGCACGTCCTCCAGTGCGACCAAAGCTCCAGTGGAGGCGCGAATGAAGTGATTGTCAGTGCTAACACCAAACGGGCGCGACAAGTTCTCGAAGTTTAACATCCAATATGAGCGGCACCATGTCGATTTGGACGCTCACTACGAGGGTCTGCATTCACAACCTACTGATGTGCGCCCATTATAAAACAACAGCTGCCAGCTAGTGCCTGGTCACATAGAATTTCGCTGATTCGGCATCTCTCTGGCGTGGCAAACCACAGCTAAAACTCTCAGCAACCCCCATAAACCTCCGGCATCTACCGCGTCAGGTTTTACCCCCTCATATGGACGTCTGTCTGTCGGTATAACCACTGCGTCGCCAAGCCTTCTAATGCTGTTATCCCACTTCCCACCATTAACTGCGTCTGACGTCGGCCTAGTGTAACCAGCCTGAAAATGGCATTTTCAAGGACTTCCGTCATTTACTCCAAACAAACTGACTGACTGAAAATCCATCAGTAAAATTTGATTTCCTGCCGGGTCTTATTCTTTATATATACGTGCAAATGGTAGCGGGGGGCTCACCAATCACTTTAACGGAACTCACTCGTTCTGTTGTGTCTTAGGGACTCTATCTCGGGCCCAACCAGCAGCCGTACAGCGACGCAAGATATAGGCAGAATGGCATCACCGACAAAGATAAGGGAGACTGGGATGGCCATTTCTCTTTTATTAGTCGTCGTCAGTCAGTCATCCCCAACCCCGAAGTGTGGAACACCTGGAGCTTGATCCCGCGACCTGTTGCTAGGAGTTCCGACACCCTAATCACTTCCCAGTGGTCTGGGGTTTCTTCTTCTTCTTCCTCCACCTCATTGTCATCCTCATCTACTTCCCAGAAACTATCACAGTGGGACACATGTTAATTCGTGCACGTCTTCGCTTTTAGCGCACTCCTTCGAAACCAAAACAATACCCAAAAGTCGTTCCCTTGCTGAATGGAGGTGACGTTGATGAACCCAGTATCAACTGCGGTACCAAACTTGGAGGACTTAAAGAAGCCAGTCAGTACTCGACCTCCAGTCGCTCTGGACACAAGTCCCGCATTGACTCGGAGGGATCCCGCACGGGAACTCCCCAGAGCTTGGGTAAGTTTGAACCTCGTCACAAGGAAGGAGCTGCAGGTCTGACAGGGGACAGGCAGATCAAATCCATTCTCAGAAAGACTGTTCGGACAACCTTCCATGCGCAGACTTCTCGTCCATTCCTTCTAGCCGGTGAGTTCTTCACTTTGACTGAGACAATCTCACTTTCTGTATTGCCTAAAACACGCTTCTTCTATGACCGCCGAGCATTTTGGAAGAAGACCTAATTCGGCCAATCGAGATGGCAGTGGTCACTTTTAGTTTGTTTACTGTCATCACTGTAACCACTGAATCAGACAGAGCCGAGGCTTGAATTCAGGCGTATGTCTCTCTGTTGCGAATGAATTACAGCAGGTGTGCTATCTCATGAAGTGTTGACCGAAATTGTGAAATGTGCTTTCGCCTCGAAATGATTACTAAGCTAGAGTTGTATAACTAATCATCGTGCAGCATAATTCTATAATGAATCAGTTATCTCAAAATCCTTGGTTTTTAACGAGCTTCTTTTCGGCTGCATTTAAAAACCAGACTGTAGAAGTGGCTACTTAAGTAGCGTGCACTTTCACCATTGATTTTCGATGCCTTTGTAAATTCAAATATGTTTCATAGAAAACATGAATAAAAAAATCATTTTTACTCATTCGGTAGCCAATTACTTCATCTTCCAATTTTATACTTGGACAAAATGTGTAATTTGGTTTTTATAAACTTTTCCGATTCCCGTCTAATGTTGAACAAGACTTGCTGTTGCACTTGTATTTAGGGTTTTCGAACAACAAGTCGTATATTTTCCGCGTACAAAAACCATACATTTCTCTAGGGTATTAAGAGGAGATCGTATGGGGGTCAACAAATTTATCAGTGGATTTGAGCCATATTGTAAACTTAAGAAGCCACGTTACTTAATTCAGAGACACGATGTTTTATGAACGGGCATTTCACGGTATTAAAAGATCTCACAATTAGAAACTTTTAAAAACCGAATTGTACCCTTTTTTCAAGTATAAAATTGGGAGATGAAATAATTTTCTACCCAACGAGTAAAAGAACGAATATTTTATGCTTCCTTTTATTAAATATATTGGAATTTACAAGGACATCGAAAATCAATGAGGAAGATGCATGCTACTTAATTAGTTATTTTTTACAGAGTCTAGTCTTTACTTTGATAGAGCCTATTTCAATTTCCGACCTGCCTTACCACTCTTATTCTATGATGGCCGAGCATTTTGGAAGTAGACCTAATTAGGCCAATCGAGATGGGCTGTTTGCTGTCATCACCCCAACCCCCGAATCGGACAGGGTCGAGGCTCGACTTCAGGCTCGTGTCCTCTGTGTTGCGATCGAATTGTATCGAGAAATAATTTTGAAGATGGTGCACACAGGTTAATGCGGAAAACTTGAAATACTTTCCGGCAGAGAATTAACTTAACGGAGTTGTTATAAGTTCCATCAGAACATTCACACGAATGGATCATAAAGAGGTTTCTATGCAATTCAAAGACATACATCAACGCAATGGAAATTAGGATTTGATAGAGCGGAAAACGATGCAATAAAAAGGATGCGGTTGCGGTAGAAAAACGATCCACCTGACTGGGGTTGCTGACATCATTATGCCATCATGACAGCCGGCAGGGAATGTAGCTCCGTGGGCAAATGCAGAGATGGACTGTAGAGAATGATAAAACATGACAGATATGAAGTGCTCACCGGATCAGTGGAATTGAGCGGCTGAAGTTTCGGAGGGTTTGGTCGGCTCACCATTATCAAGGCGTTTTGTGCAGAAAAATCAACCAGAATTTTGAACAAACGGCCGAAACGCTTTGGTAATGGAGAGCCGATCAGGCCCTCTGAAACGTCAGCCGCTGAATTCCACTGATCCGGTGAGCCCTTCGCATGTCTCAGATTATCGACCCGGATCTCTTACATTTGCTAGCCTGATGCTGAAGCAGCAAGAGCGGGGAGAGCGCAGTTGTGCGAGGGGGGGGGGGTGCACCGACCGTCTTTATTGACACTCTGTTACACCATTCATTCCTGGATTCCCCTAAACGAGACTTGCCTCTTCGTTGGAAGTACGGGCATAAGTGAGATCCTTGCTGCCATGACCTTCAGGTCCCGTCCCCAATGGAACGAGAAGATAGACTCTAGTTGAGACTTTATATCCTGTACAGAACAAGTGAAAAAGGGGCTGGAAGGAGTTGGTAGCCAGAGGAAAGCCTCATCGACACCGGGAGAGCGGCGTCCATGGTTGGTCAGGGAATGTGTCAAAGCGTCCTATGACAGGGCATGTTTGACTTGACCTTGAATCTGATTGGTTAACTGGAAAGCTGAGTGGGCGAATGCCAGACAGCCGTGGTGCACACGTGCGGACACTGACAGGAGGCCCAGCGCTGCGACAGGCGCTTGGAGTAGGGCCACTTCAACGGTCCAATCCTAGTCCTTTTTGGTTAGTGGCCTCAATGCTCTAGTCATTGAGATGTCGCCAGCACAATGAGTCCCTGACTCAGTGGTCATAGCGTTGAATCTACTAATCCAAAAGAACCCATATTCAAACCACAGGTGTCCCCAGTTCTAGGGTTGGTTAGTGTTGGCTGACGCCAGCCAGTAAGCCAGAAATGGCCACCCATATCTCCCTTGTTCTTGTGCATACTTGATTACTGCCCACAGAACACAAGCCAATGACTCGGTGGTTCAACGCAAGCCCATGTTCAAATTTCGGGTGCGCTCGACCTGAAGGACTGTCGACGGAGGCTGGACCAGACCTGGCAACTCAAGTCGCCCCTAAATCTAATCAATTATTGATTGCTCGTCACTTCTACACCTTAAATACGGTCATTATTTGTATGGAGACTGGTTTCCTCTGTGAGCAAGATACTGTAACCATACAGACCTATATGGATGGCTTCCGAAGACTGTTGAGAGAAATGTCTGCTTGATAAACGCGGTCGTAGCTCCTTTCAGGAAGTTGCGCCTACCGCAAATGACGATGCACATCGTCAGAAAAAGGAATGATTAGTTCATTTTTTCGGGGCAGTGTGATACGTGCTAATCGAGTTCGATGCAGTAGACAGAATGTCGGCCCTTGTGCATTGTAGTCAGTCTTTGATGGACGGTAAAAGTAATGGCGGCGAAACGTACACAAGGTAACGTCGTCAGGAAGACTCAGATTCGCCTCAGAATTAGGATGATTTCCTCGGACGGGAGTGTTTTGCGGAGCCCTTATGACAGTGGACTCATAGCGTGTACGCATGGCTTGGCAACGATAGGGTGAAGGACCTCAATTTACTGTCTGCAGACTGTAGACTGTGCCATACGGGAATCGTGGTGATGGGAGGGGGGTTTAGGGGTGGGCATCACACCGAACAGTAAGTTGACGGAATGCAGGAAAATATAGAAGACAGTCGATGACAAAAGCTATACTTTCAAGTAACAGGATGAATGCATGCAGCTACATTATCCAGCTGGATATTCCATGCAGTTCCGTCTCGAAAGACTGCCTGATCATTGAACAGCTGAGACTATACCCTGTCAGACTTTTTTTGGTCTTTAAATTCATGCCCGGTTGATCTTCGTTCTTTGTTTCTCCGCTCTTGGGTACAACTGCCTTTCATCAATATCCAATTATATGGCGCAAGAACATGCATCAGGACACGATCCACAGTCTACAGAAAGCTAATTGAGGTCCTTTATCCTACCGTTGCCCATGACTCTTCTAGTTTATTTCAATGTTTTCTGTAATGAGGTTTCTTTCGAGAATTGCGTGATTTTGATAGAATGAAATTTCTACTACACTTAAAATATTTTATAATATTATAGATCCAGTATATGTGGGTCAACTTTCCTCTGCAAATTTGCGAATGAGGTTAGAGGTTTAAGTGACTCGGATGTGCATGACGGATTGCGGAGCAGGTCATGAAAATAAATTTCAACAGAAATCCGTGAATTCATCTTAAATCGATTTTTTGTGACAAGGAATGGACAGCTGAAAAAGAGCATATATATTTTGATTATTGATCATGACTTAAATTTCCCCTCGCCTTTAAGCAGAAAGCTCTGGACTCGAACATGGAAGGCGAGGAGAGCGTCTGACAGTGCCCCCCAGCTCGATCAGCAAAGCCGACCAGCCTTCAATTCCAGATGACGATCGTTGGGCTGTGACAGCCTCTCCGAGGATGTCGACAAAATCCCGATTTCCTGGACCGCAGGACCGTCCAAAGACTGCAGGAGCGCTTGACACATCAATGAGATATAGGGCTTCCCCCGTTAATGCTGCTGCCGCTGCTGTTCCTGCTTGGCGTGGCGTAGCAACAACACAGAAAACATCACCTACACCATCGCGACCCTCTCTCGTTTTGCCACCCAAGTCCTCCCGAAATCCCATGATGTCGGAGCAGACTTATGTGCTCATTCACAATCGCACCAGCAATCAGAAACAGCGTAACACCTCACCCTTCTCCCCTGTCCTCTTGATGCCAACCAGTGCACGTCGCAGGATCTCTGCCTCCCCGGTTGCCTGCTCCGCCGGCCAGACTCGCGCCAAAACCCATTCGCCCGCCTGGCGGGACCTGCGGTCCAATCGCCAGTTCTCACCGCACCAGCGGCCACTGACAGTGCGGACCACGTGCGGGTCAGGTGAGAGGCGGCAGAACCAGCAACAAACTCTGCCCCACTTTCGACCCCTGTATGCCTCCGTCTTCGATTGCTGACCTCCGAACTCCTGACGACTGGCGGATCGCTTTGGAGCCGCTGCAGTTTGTTTGGAGAAGGACAGTCCTGTTAGATTTCGAGAATGCTCAAGTTGTTAAGCCCAGTATGCGGGTGACAGATGTACTGTTTTTTCAAGTGCTGATTTGGCGCGGCCCCCTGAAATGTGTTTTGCGCACTTACGCGCACGTTGGCCACTCGGGGGTGGTGACGAACCTACTAAATCCGTGAATGAAATCCTTCCCCCCTTGCCACTGCAAAACCCCGTGGGGTAAAAGGAGAATAAAATCAAGTGTTCTCGTATTTCATGCAGGGTGCTGCTGTTGCTGCTAATATATCTAATATCGGCTCGCTTCCATTGCTCAAGTCGAAATTGCGGAGTAATTCATACTGTCTCCGAAGTGACTGGAGAACTGTGACGCTTCTTCCATACGGAGGTAAAATATCCTTGGCATTCCAAAACGAAAGAGTCTTGAGATTTTAGAGCAGGGGTTGTGAACGTGCGAGTGTACGTGAGACCGCGAAGCAATCAAACCAACCAAGAAAAACAGGGGAGAGCGAACCATCAATCGCCTCTGGCTTTTTTCACTCTCGACAATCTCTAAACTTGAATTCAAGTCATCTTCCGCTGAAATGATCAGAAAAACGCATACGTACACAGCAGATGTTGTACAGACGAGGTGTCTCCGGTGGATTAATAGCATTCTTGAAAAGACCTTCCTCCACTGCCTGTTCGCCTGTTGGTTAAGATAACCCACCCGCCAGATCTCATCTGTGGGCCGAATGGGTGTTCAGAGTTCCGTTTAGGATCGCGGGTATTGTCTCAAGATGGCACGAACCCTACCGTTATAGTCCGGGGATTTAGACTGAAGAGCGCTCACCGGACGCGTTACGGAAAATGCTTCTCCCGCTCTGTTGTGAGCGACGGCGGTCATCTTCACAAATTAGGTGAGGATAGGGTATGTGACGAGTATGTTTACTGTTTAGAACTGCCTACTACATTTACCTAAGTAGGCGTTATTTGGTACGGTTTCTGGTTGAAAACCAGTAACTCGTTTTGCTCATTTTCTGGGCCCAGCAAGTCCATATCTCTCGACACACAGCTCCCAGTCGTAACCAACAGGACAAAAAGCTCGTGGTTCAATGCTTAGGACGTTGTACTCCTAACTCCACCGCCTATCCTACCTCGAGGTAGGGTGTGACTGGCTGATTACGGCCAACAAGTCAGAAATGGCCATACCAGTCTCTCCTGTCTTTCTCGGTAATGCTATTTTGCAGAAAAGAACTATATTGACGCTATTGCAGAGGGACGCACACCGATCGCGTTACGAAACTCGTTTGTTCCGTTTAGCCTTGGGGCCCGCCAGCGGCCACACGGCGCCACGTAAAGTAGACAGAATGACATTAATGACAAAGACAAAGGGGACCGGAATGGCCATTTCTGGCTTGCTAGCCGTCATCAGCCAGCCATACCAGTCCACGAGGCATGGAACTCCGGGGCCACGGAATCGCGGCCTGATGGCTAGAGGTCTTACGCCCTAAGCATTGAGTTACGGGCTCGTTGTCCTCTCGGATGTTGCTATACCCGATCACAACCGACAGGACAAGAAGCCCTTGGCTCAATGGCTAGGACGTTGGACTTCTAACTAACAGGTCGCCAGTTCGCGCCCCAGGCTTTACATACGCCGAGATTGGGTGTGACTGGCTGATGACGGCTAATAAGCCAGAAATGGTTGTTCCACTCTCCCATGTCTTTGTCGCTAATGCTACTTCGCAGAATAAAATTATTTAGACGGTATTGTTGGTTAATGGTGAACTGCAGCAGTGAATGAATGGTCGAGCAGGAGGGACGAGTCCAGGGGAGCTGATATGTCTGACGATGAACCAGTGGATACGTTGGTGTAGAGCAGCTTGCAGTAGCGGTAGGGTGAAGGACTCCACTTAACAATCGGTGGACTGTGGATAATGACATAAGGAAATGTTGGTAATAGATGTTTTACGCGTTCGGCAACTCGCCAGACATTAAACTGACGAGAGCGCATTGACCCACGTTGCCCACTTAGTATGGTAAGCCTTCCATTTACTGGGTTTCACATCCAAATAGCTGGTTAAACGGTGGTAAGCCGAAGGAAGCGGCCTGCTCCTTGTTAGGCTGATTCCTTTGGTTTGCGGACTTGTATATGCAAAAATTTGAGGGTGTTAACGCTGAATTGGAGGGGGGAGGTGCAACTGCGTTGCGTCCATCACGCAGAGGTATAATCGGGACGACTATTTTACGGTAGGCAGGCTAACTTATGAAATGTCAACGGAAATGTTGAAATGCGTTTTAGTTTCGAAAAGATTAATTAAGTAGGGTTATAAAACTAATCATCATCATGCTGCATAGTTCGACACTGATCCAGCTACCTCAGGGTTTCGGCTTTTGAATGAACATATTTTCGACTGCATGCAAGACCTATACACTGCAAAAAATGACTACTGATGTAACATGCAATTTTCTCATTAATTTTAGATGCCCTTGAGAATTCAATTATATTTCATGAAAAAATGCATAAAAGTATTCATTCTTTTACTCATTCGGTGGAGAATTAGGTCTTCTTCTAATTTTATGCTCGAAGGCGGGACATAATTCAGTTTTTAAAAACTTTCTACTTGTGGGATTTTTAGATAACTGGAAATGCCCGTTAATAAATCGTCATACCTGTGCATTTGCCAATGTATCTTGTGAAGTTAACAATTTAGATCAAATCCACCGCTAAATTTTATGAACTCTATATGGTTTCCCTTTAGTACCGTAGAGGAATGCATGGCTTTCTGTACACGGAAAATATACGGCTTGTAGTTTTGAAACCCTGAACGCAAGTGTAACAGCAGGTAGGGTCCAAAAGTATTCGGGGATTGGAAAAGTTTTTAAAAGCGAATTATATTCTTCTTTGGAGTATAAAATCGGAAGAAGACATAATCTTCTACCGAATGAGTATTTTTATGCATGCTTTCCATGAAATATAATTGAATTTTCAAGGGCATCTAAAATCAATGAGGAAATCGCATGTTACATAAGTAGTCATTTTTTGCAGAGTATAGGTCTTGCATGCAGTTGAAAATAAGTTCATTCAAAAGCCGAAACCCTGAGGTAAGTGGACCAGTATCGAATTATTTAGCATAATGATGATTAGTTTTATAACCCTTCTTGATTAATCTTTTCGAAACGAAAGCGCATTTCAAAATTTCGGTTGACATTTCATAAGTTAGCCCACCTACTGTATTCGATAAGGCATACTGACACGCGCACTAGTCCATAATCCGAGACCACAGCTTAACAGCAAGAAGTGTACACCTCATACGCATACAGAGATGTCAGTAAGATGAAAAAGACGGTGCGCGTGGCACCTATTGACGAAACTGTCTGCGATTGTCATGACAAAATAACCAGAGCCCAAGAGGAAAAGAAAACTAACGCTACTAGACAATATGCCGACGAGAGGGCAAACAAAAACCATTGCATATTAAAACTTGATTCGTGACCAGTCGTCCAGACACCTGGGCAGACAGCAGTTGAGAGTACTGAGCGGGTAGGTCAACTTTAACATCAACAGCTTCAAGTCAGCCAGCATGGGACCAGATATACTGTGAGCCTCCCTATCAGGGAAATCAAAAAGGGACCAAAATAGCATTGTGGTGCCTCTTGAAGAACGGAAAGCAGCCTTCATAATGAACCGCGTCGACTGCATCGGTCAGGTACAAGACCTCCGCCCCGACCTGTAGTCTTACAGAGGTACGCTCTCGTCGAGGGCTAAGTCTAGGACCCTCCTGTTACGAGACTTCCGAATCAGGAAAAGTGCAAAAACAGAATCCCGCTAAAAGAGTGAAGTCAGACAACGCTGACTAGCACGGCACTGATCGAGTGGCATGGATTATTTGAAGCGAACAATTCCAAACTTTCCCCATCAGCCAGTCAGTATCCCAACCAAACTTGCAATCAGGCTTTGCACATGACCCTAAAATATCATTTCTTCTGGGTCCATATTAACATGGTGTCCTGGACCCTCAGCAACCCCCGCGGATCAGCTACTCGATCTGAGAAAATAATGTCATCATTTGTTGTGATCTCATTAGTCGCAATTATCCCGCCCGACACCGAGCTACAGGTTCTGCGCAAACAACCTGATAACGTGTATAGTGAAGCCTGAGTACACACGGAGGTTGAAATCTGATAAAACTCTTTGAACTTGTCAGTGGACACTTTCAATCCTCATTGCTAGTCGTAAGGGCAGATCAGGCGGACATAGACGGTTTCCTCAGGCTCTAACGTATGTGCAAAACTGGTTCCAGCAGGAATACCAAGAGTATACCTTGACCGATAAGATACTAGAGATTTCGGAGCTCTGAAGTTCTCCTGAGCTGTTTCATAGTATTTGCCATGACATTCGACTCACATGGGTGGATTAGAAGGAAAAGTACCTGCCTTGGATTGATGTTGTCGTCATCGGAGGATTTACTGCAGACTCTTCTGACTGATCGGATGTCCTTCCACAGAGTCCTATAAGGACCGCGCAAGTTCGAGAGGTCTGACATCCGAACTTTAATTTACCTTTCGCTTTGCTTTAACAATGAACCAAAGGCATCGAAAGCTGTCGAGTAGTCCAAGAACTTCACGGTCGCCCATGAGCTGGCGAGTATGCCTGACAGCGAAAGTCTGGACAGTCTTCGTCGTTTTGAGGGTGAGCGCTCCTCTACCACTAAACCTACCCGATTGCAACCGACATGACAGCGAGCCCGTGGCCCAGTGGTTAGAGGCTTTGGACCCAAAGTCAGTAACATAGACATGATCGGCAGGAGGGGGGAGAAGTCGTGAATATTCATAGGTATGTGGTAGCATGGCTAATTCATCCTATAAATACTGCAGCCGCATATGCATGAACCACCCTTATCTGCTTTCGTCTCTGATGATTGATTCGAGCAGGAATCCGAAACGTTAAGCTAATAAAGCACTTGTCCCGGCGATCGTGTCTTCCTCTTCAAAACTGCTTCCTGGGACTCGTCTCTTCGATTCTATTGGCAATAAGTTCTTTTGTTAGGTATCTCAAGTATTCAGCTGTGGACTTAAATCGCAAAACGGGGACAATGGTAACGGCATCACAAAGAGGTGTATTAATAATCTTTCGTAACAAAATCTCCTAACACTTACATGAAGCTTCTTTCTGAACGCTTGGAGTAACTACGACACATTTCTGGGCAGAGTTCAAATCAGTTCAAGTCACTGTATTTGGAGTAGATGTCAAAAGCCTTTGAGGACAGCATTTCGAAAAATACAAGTCTGTATGAAGAACAGTTAAGTTGCAAATATGTACAGGTAATGTCAGCATGCGAAATACAGAAAAATGCTGGAGAAATAGAAGTGTCAAGACCTGGCGAAATAGTTAAATAACAGTGACAAACGTCGCGGGTAAAGAGACATGATCGCTGTAACAAGAGCCTTATTAGCCTGACTTTTCGAATTCTCACTCGAATCTATCATCAGAGACTGCGTCATATAAGGATAGTGGATTGCTCGGTAGTCAGTCACTCACCGGCGTGCGATGAGCGTGGGAGCCGATAATCTTGACCGACATACAGGCGCGTAGCAACTACATGGCAAAGACATATTTCACCACCTGGCCAGTCGAGCTGTGCTGAATTCGGAAGCTGCCGACTATGATAAGCATGTAGCGGCCTAGCAACTACATCCATAAATATTGCAACACCTAGGCAATCCACTACCCTTATATCTGATGATGGATTCTAGTGAGAATCCGAAACGTCAGGCTAATAAAACACCTGCTCCAACGATCGTGTTTCCTGCTCCGCGACTACTTCCTGGAAATCGCCTCTTCGCTTCTATTAACATAGAACAACATACCAACAGCATTTGCACACACTAGGTTCAACAGAGTTAAAGTTAACGCAAACAAAATGGGCTATTGAAATCAAGATGGTAGCATAGTGTTCGTTATAATAGTGGTTTACCAGACGAGGGTTTGAGAAGGTCTAGTGGACCTTTAACAGGTGAGCATCCAGACGCCTCCAAAAGTGCACTCACACTGGTAGAATGCACGCTATACATGGGTAGACAATTCCAGTGTCCAATGGCTCTTTGGGAGAAAAAGAGCGAACGCTGATTGGCGCGGTACCGCTTCCTTTTTAAGTTGGCAATCATGGCGTCGAATATTCGATTTCGGTGCCATTTCAGAAGAATGTTCCCAGTTCACATTAAGATCAAGTCCCCGTAACAACTAAAACTTCGGCATAAAGTCGTCTCTGTCTTATCTATACTGGCGGGATAGAGATTCGTACGTTAAATTTTTGAGTGCATGAACAAGCTTTGTATCACGTCATCGTATACCTTTAAGAATCGCGTTCATCATCCCCCGAAGAAGACGAAGAAGAAGATAGGGCGCATTCGTGGACCGAGTTACATTTGTACTGACGTTTCGGAAACCCTCTCGTTTCCATCATCAGAGTAATGTATTGACAGATCCTGCTGGTCTTGATTGCGTCAGCCTTGATACCTGCTTGGTATTATATCCGTGCGCGAGGCACGAACTCTGACCTGCCCGTTCGCCGCCAGTTAGCGTTGACCTCTCCGCGATTGACCGCCGGTGGGCTCGTGTGACTCTTGACCCCTTTGCGGCCGTCGTAATTGTTGGCGAGCCAGCATGCTTGTCGGCCTCCCCCTCGTCACTCAACGGACTGATCCCTTGTTGGGGCTCATGTGAGTTGATCTCAGCCTCGTGGGCGTCGCGGTGAGGTGGCATCCCATGCTGGTCACATGACCCCCGGCCGGCTTCTCTCCCAGTTTCTGCTGACATCGGCTGTCGGCCACGCGTCAATTTGCTCGACTGTCCTGATGGCGTTGTCCGCACTGACTCGAGCCTTGTGCGTAGCGCCTGATAGGCGGGATGCAGATCTATGGCTCTGTTAAGTGTGCTAGTCGAGGACCAACTTTCGAGCATCAGTCTGGCCATCTTATCATTGGCTCGGCCGATTACCCTTGCCTTTTCAAAGGCGAAATTGTGGTTCTGCTATTTGACGTGGCCATAACCCATAGACAGCTTTTCCTTGCGGTTGATTGCAAGCTGGTGCTCATGCAATCTTGTGCCAAGACGTTTGCCGGTTTCACCAACATACCTTGCATCACAGTTTTGGCATGGTATGCTGTAGACAACCGCTGATTGTTCTGTCATCGGTAGCAGGTCTTTGGGCTTCATTGTTTGCTGTCTGATTGTTGACTCTGGCTTCTGAGTCACTCCGATCCCGAAAGGCTTCAGTATTATTGCCGTCGCCTCTGACACGTTTTTCACATAAGGGATTGCGAGCCAAAATTTCGGGTTTTCTCCGTCCGACCGCTCAGGATGGGACTTCTTAAATCACTTGCGTATGAAGGACTTGGGATAACCGTTGGCTTTAAATAGGGCGTGCAAGTACTTAATCTCCTCCTTCCTCCCGTGTTCGTCGCTGCAGTGTGTTTGAACGCGTTGGAAGAGGGTTCTGACACAACTGCGTTTGTGACCAAAGGGGTGGCTGCTCTTAAAGTGGAGGATTCGCCTGGTGTTAGTTGCCTTGCGGTATACCATTGTCCTTATCTTCCCGTCCTCCAGCTTTCTCACTTGTACTTCAAGGAAGGCCAGCTGATTGTTGAGCTCTTCTTCCATAGTAAACTGGATGTCAGGAAAGATTGAATTCAACAGTGCCTTGAAAGTCTGCACATCGCTCCTTTTGATGATAACGAAAGTGTCGTCGACGTATCTGGCCCAGAAGTTTGGGGGTACGAGCTGAAAACCAGCCGCTCAAGCCTCTGCAAAACCGCTTCGGCAATTAATCCAGATAGAGACGAGCCCATCGGTGTCTCCTTCTTTTGCTCGTAAACCTGGCCGTTGAATGTAAAGAACGTTTTAAGACATAGTTTTAGGAGCTCGATGATGTGAACTCGTTTGAGCTGTTGATTGGTCTCATCATACTTTTCTCGGAGAAAACCGTCAATAGTGTCGATAGCCAGCGCGGGTGAGATGGAGGTGAACAATGAGATCACGTCAAAAGACACCATCACCTCATCTGCCTCAACTTCGAGACGTTTGATGCGCGACAAAAACTCTTCAGCCGACTTCACTGTCCACTCTGAATCCTTGGTAAGGAAACAAAGTCGCTGGTTCAGCCACTTTGACAGCCCAAAGGTTGGGACACCACGTAAGGAGACGATGGGACGTAGCGGCACTCCCGGTTTGTGAATCTTTGGTAGGCCGTAGAAGCGCGCCATTGTGACATCACTGGCCTTTGCGGCCAGCGCTTCCCTTCTAGTAAGAGCGCCCGCCTTCCTCAGCTTGCCGATCGTCTTGTTTATGCTGTTTACGAGCTTTTTGAACTCACTGACAGTCGATGGTGCATAAGCTTCCTTGTCCATCAAGAGGTTGCCTCGTTTTTTGCAGTACTCAGCCTTATCCATGACGACTGTAGAGCGCCCCTTGTCGGCGGGCAGGGTGACGATATCCTCTATTTTTCCTATTTTCAGAAGTTCTCGATCATTATTGAATACATTACCCAGAATTGCCTTTCCAGGCGGTAGTGTCCCCCGGTGAAGCCAGGGTTGGTGTTGACTGAGTCCCGTCAAGCCTGAGAGTCGAAGAGGCAGTGGTGCCAGCTGTTTGTGAGCCAAACTCCAATGGTATCAAATCGGTGTTTGTTGCATTTGCCGAGAGGTAATGTTCAAGTTGTTTATGCTGTGTTCGCATGGGAATGGTGTTTCCAAATGGTTTATGGAAGCTGCTACTCTGTGGATGCAGTTGTATCCGGGGTTCAGTAAGTATCAGTCAGTATATTTGGAGTAAACGACAGAAGCCCTGAAAACTCCATTTAGGCGGTACGGATGCAAGGAAAATAGTTAACTTGCAAAAATTCTGCTTGCAGTTTTATTAAGGAGAATTCATAAATTTAATACTGGAACATAAATGCGAAAAGAGTATGGTATTTTTTGAAATAATTGAGGAAACTTTTCACCGCATTCGGACTGTGAAAATGTCCATATGGGTCAAGTTAAGCGCACAAATAAGGATCCTTTGAAATCATGTTAGAAGTATATTTATAGTCATTTCAGTAACCCATTCGATCAGGCTTCATCGGTTCGAGTTGCCTTTCCGCAGGTGAGTTTACAGTCGTCTCTTGAACTTGGGTTAAGTCGGTCGAGTGGCTGCAGGGCAGTGCGTCTGGAACCGCTCACTGTGAAGATGGATGACCTTGACGCAACGGAACCTTGAACACGGACGTCTTACCTGTACACAATGGGTGTCGGCAACAAGGTCAGGCAAATATTCGGTTCCCTTGTCCTTAACTTGGCCTTCGGATAAATTTCCCGCTTGTGAACCAATAAAAAGGGGAAAAAACATATTTAGTGGCGATTAATACACGGTATTCCACAGCACTCTGATCGACGTAGGTGGAATTTCACACGGTAGTCAGTCGGTCGGACCCCATCCCCTGCATCCTCTGGTATTGCGACTGCTGGCCCACGACTGCCTAATCGCCAGCGCCTTCAAGTAACTTCGTTTCGCTACACCTAACCGTGGACGCATGGAGTAGAAAGCGATCAAGCTGATATCAGATTGTAGTGGTTATGCAGTCTGGGCGTCACCATAATCAGGGCTAAATCCTAGTGTTGTAGGTGAGAGACAGAAGGCACCAGAATGAGGGGTTTATTGTGCGCAGAACACGGAGTTGTCCTCTCAGACGACAGTGGCCACTGGCGAAGCCAGGGCTGGTTTTGACCGCGTCCAGTCATGCCTGAGAGTCTCTGAGATAGTGATGGCAGCCGATTTTGTAGGCTCGTGGGCCAAATTCGAGTGGTGTCCAGTCAGTGTGTGTTGTATTTACGAAGGGGTGGTGTCTCATTGGCTCGTTGCAAAGGGTAAATGACCTTGAGGCAGCGAGGTCTTGAACCGGTTATGATGGCCGCCCGCTACAGGGTCTCGTCTTCCTGTAACTCATTTCTCCCCCGCACTTCCATGTACACGGAAGGCAGGGCTGGCATTCTGTCGAGGTTGTCGAGATTTAGGGACGATATAGCCTGGCGTCAAACCGCTAATTAATCATCTTACTAACAAACAGCAGTAGCACTTATTGAACAGAACATGTTCCTGAACAACTGGCGGCCAGAATATTAACACCAGCAGTGGTTATCAGGTAGCTTTCAGATTGTCGAAAACACACCTAAATGATAGACACAGAGGAGAAGCTCAGGTCAGCTCACGCCCAACGACATGTTGGTTTCTGTTGAAAGCACAATTCCAGCCATTTGTGTCCGTCAGTTATACAAGCAATCATGTATTTCCTGCGAATAGTCTGGAATTCGTCTTCTTCAGATCCGGCAAGACGTGTAATTAGACAGCAGACGACCTCAGCCAGAAGAGGCGCCTAAACACGGCGAAGGCGAAGAAAGCTTATTGAAAACATTATTTTGGACCGAAAAGCCTTAGGTACGGAAAAGAGTGCTTTATTTGCAGAAACAAAGAAAAACCGAAAAAAGTGCAAAGGAAACGAAAGACGAAAAATGGAATTCGACAAACCGGTTGTTGGTAGTTTATAGAGCAAATTTCCTTTGGTAATAAAAATAAGCATGGAATATGCGCAAATTTACGAAAAACCCTTATGCTCAAACGCATCGACCCGAACACCTAATTTGAACTAAATAACCCCTAGTTAAATACAAACATGCAATAAATACTGTAAACAATATCGCATTCATTGCAAACTAAAACAATCTTAAAAAGCGGAAATACCGAAACGCAAAATGAATGAATGACGTAAATACCTGACGTTTGGAACAGTACTCTCTTAAATATATGAGCAAAGAAGTTTTTTCGGATTGCGAGTTAAGGGGCACTATAGGACAAATTTATAATGCTGCAGATGTCGAGAGACCTGCCACGGTCCAACCAACTGAAATATAATTAAAACGTACAGTCGTATGTGACCCAAATGCTGATCGGTAGGATAATTTTTCTTGGAAGTGTTGTCTACGCTCTGACAATGAGTTCCGAGAGTGTCCTTGAAGTGCTACTGAATATTTTGTAACTTTCGGTGTCCTAAAGTAGCTGTCAAAAAGGATGGCTTCTGTGGTGTATAAATACTGATTAGATCGTCACACACGTAACACTGGTGCTATCTAAAACCTCAGGCACATAACGAAGACTGGGGATGTTCGCGTAATTTCCTATGTTGATAGCTGTGCTAGGCTGAATTCACACACCCTCACGCGGTGTCCCATGACAGAAGAGTAATCTGAACTGGAGTGTTTTACCAAACAAAATATGCTGCATTTGAAAATTGGTTTTCTGGTCTACCTAACTCAGGTGAAGAAGGAAGTGAAGAGGCCTTTCATTCTTAGAAAATCAGGCGTTCTATCGACTCCGAAAAGTCAGATTTGTAAATCCATATGATTTTATGCCCCAAAACACAGCAATAATGCATACTGACAAGCCTTTTCTTAAAATCACCCATACTAACCTGTCGTTTGTGAATTTGCCATAAACAACCGTGCGACAGTCCCTCATCAAATGGCCATTTTAAATTTTAAACGTTTTGGGCAGTCTAATTTCTGGTAATACGTGATTTAGAAACGGAGCGGGTAGAAGAGTAGCAATTCGAGCAAGGTGTTAATATTTTCATAGTCGCTTTTGTTAATTTTTAATCGCAGGACGAAACCCCAGAGTAAGCAAAGATTATAAATATAGATCCAATATAAATAAAACAGAAACGTCCTTTCGTTTACAGGAAAAACTGATCAGTATTTTTAGAAAACTGAAAAAGCTGGCTTACGGTCCCAATTTCTCTCCAGACTTTTTCTTGGAAAAGATACAATATGTGGATAACCGTCAGCGAAATGTCGTATTAAAGCGCATTTGAAGAATAACTCTACCGACAAAGACAAGGAAGACTTCAATGGCCGTCTCTGGCCGGTTAGCCGTTGTCATTCAATCATACCCAACCCTGCAGTATACAGCCCTCGAGAATCGTACTCGCGACCCGTTAGTTTAAAGTCCAACGCCTCTAGCCACTGGGCCACGGACTCGTTGTCCGGTCGGTTGCGATCGGGTACATTAACAATGGTAGAGGGGCGCGCACCGCTCGCATGAGTCCCCTAACGCAATCGGTGAGCGCCCCTCTTCAAATTTAGTGTATCCGAGGAGGATGTTTAGTTTGCAGAAGTCCTGTTTTATTTCCGACAACAATTAAGGCTACGAAATCTCGAAATACATTTCTGAAATGTCCTCAGCACTTCGCTGCTTGTTGGCCGCCCTCAACAAGTTGTCATATAGAGGTAAAAATACTCACTAAAGGACTCACTCCACACCACGTAAGTTTCTTTATTTCGTGCACCTGCAAAGGAACTGCTCGAAAGCTATTTTGCAGCATACCCTGGGGCCATTTCTGCAAAGATCTCACATTTCTTCCTATAGTTTCATCTAGAACACTCCGTGGGTGAGCGAAAGCTTGCGTAGGATGACCTTTACGTTGTCTTGGAGCACAAAGAGCTCAAGCCCACGAGTCCGACTTTTAAAAACCTAAAGCGCTGCCGGTTTTCTGAGACGAATGTGCATTGTAACATCATACCTCGCCTGATATTTACAAGCAGAATAATCAAGGTTTAGTTCACTGAGGTCGCTGGTGCAAACTGCCCTCGCGTTGCTTACTTTCTGCTAATAAGTAACTGTCATTGAGCCAAGGTTCATCCCATGATGGACATTCGGATGGGAAATCTCGATGGGAAGGAACACTGACTATGATCCAAACATATTGATCTCGGTGATTTCCGAATTCATACACTTATCTGTCCCGAGAAAAAGCCCTTCGTACATTAATTTATAGTAAGACAAAAATTTCGTCATATCAGAGGGCTTTGTGGATTTTCGTCACAATATTTATTATTTCCCCTACCAACTGTATAACATTTCAGCGTTGAGAGTTCTTTGTAGATTCCTCGAACCAGCAACCGTATATTTACAAGATCTCAATGTTTCCAAACAGCTTGGAATTCTTGATCTCCAAATGGAGCATTCTTATTTCTCTTTCTTTTGTCAAGCTAAGTCATCCGTTAGTGAAAAAAGATTGCAATGTGTTTGAAGGAAGTGGCAGCTCCCTAACCAGACTTGGATAATCCACAGAAAGCCGACTCCATACATTTTTTTGAAGCTTTCTGTAGACCTCAAAACGAACACTTACATAAGGAAATATGTTCATAACAATGAAATACAAAAATCATTTATGGTGTCATTTTCAAATAAAGCTAGATGTGAAAAATGGAAACTCTTATATACTGGCGTCGAAAACCCAATATATTATACTGGAAGTGACTTCGAGATGGGGTTACGGGATCTGGTCGACCCCTTATGCCTTGGGGCTCAATAACGAGCTCTCGCAGGAAGTCATATAACCACTACTAATCTATGCATT